AAAAAAAAAAAAGACAAAAATGTGATGGCGGGAGAATATAGATCATTTCTACCAATTTCTAGCAGCCAAAAATAAGTGGGAGAAAAGAACAACTTCAGACAGATGAAGGCTCATAAAGTTTCTCTAAATTCTGATATTAGGGATCCTGTGAAATTCTAAGCACTCACAAATGGTGTTTACTCGTAAGTGGTGGTTACTTCTTTTTGTCTAATGCCTAAGATCTTGGAAATAGTTAAATATACGCAAATGCAACAGAACATCATTGAAATACACATGGGCTATAATTTTTAAAAAATGTTTTAAAAATGTAAATATAATCTACTAGAAAAACTTTTCTCTGTAGTTTTTATATACAGACACACTTCAGATACGTCTGAGCTACAATTATGTAACTCATTTCCTAAATAAAAAACCCTTACAGTTAAAATGAAATTCCATCACTGTCACTCAATATTCAAGATTTTTTAAGTTAGGAAAATGTGAATGATACACAAATAATATTAAGCAGGTACATTAATCAGCACATGGGGTCTAAATTTTAAAAAAATACTTCATCTTGATGTATGTAAATTTACCTCATTTCTGTCAAAAACTCCCCAAAGCTTGACTTTTCTGATGCTCAAAAATCCCTCCACTGTTCTACAGCTTATAAACAAGTCTTCAGGGAATGTTTTTTCATTTTTTCTTTTTTCTAAATATGATCATTTAGTTTTTAAATAAAAGCATTTTAAAATAAATTCTAATGGCACAGCTGCCATTTTGGCAGAGAGATTGTCACACAGAGAGCCGGTGTTAAAAGATCAGATTAAGAGCCTTCAGTCCTGGCACGAGTGATGCGCAGCCATGCCAGAGTGATTTCCCATTCCTCTGAAGAGACAGGAAATAGAATTCATCTTCCTCTAATAACCTGCCTCCTCTCCTCCCTCCAGATTACAGTCCATCTGGCCTCAGGGAAGAAGCAAGGAGTCTGATGCTTACAGAATGCCCTGGAGAAGAAACAAGGTTCAGATATAAACCATCAGAGAGCCAGGACCTGACCCACAGGAACACATTTCTGGCCCACCAGGATATAACAAGATGTATATCCTAGATAACTGGAGAAGGAAAAGTCAATTAAACCCAAAGTAAAAAGCAGAGAAAACATATCCCGATTTAGCACAGGTTAAGATACTTTGACAGAGGTCACACTATATGTGAATCAAGAATTTCCACCAAGAAATGTCAGAGCAGTAGGGAAATGAACAGTTAAGTTGGGGACAGTACGATACCAACCCACCCAGGCTAAAGCAAAAGAAAAACAGTTGCCAGCAGCTCCCCATGGCTTTCCTCTGCAGGGCACAACGTCCTCAGCCAATTAATTCCAGTCCAGTCTTGCTCAGCACCCACTACCGGTATGGATTCCACGCCTACTGGGCCTGCTCACACCACCAACATGGACTCTTGTGGGAAAACGACTTATGGGCACGTGAGCTCTGCCAACACCCTCAAGGCCTCCTTTCACTTCTGAGGGAAATCCACAGATCCTGCAGAAGTGCCATGGGGACAGAGCTGTCACAATAACTCTACGTGGGGTTTGCACCAACTAAGGCCCAAAGTCTAATACCACCCCAGGGATACTTCTAACTTTCTCCGGTTGCCTTGGGATAGGACATCCCATTTTAGTTAATACAGCTCTGTGGTCCCACATTCTTCTCATTCTCCAAATCCATAACATAGTTTCAAAGTCCTCAAGTAAGAAACACACGCTTGTCCGACCAGGCAAGGGGCAACAGGGCTTCCTAAAGAAAATGCAAGTGTGCCCCATATTCACCATGCCATCTAATCCAATTGCAAGTAAAAATAGGCAAATAAGGATATGAGTGGTGTAGGTTTTCTGGTCACAGCTAAGAAAGGGGAAAAACTATCTTTTGTTTTTTGTGACCCAGTAGAGCACGTAAATTCATGTTGGCGAATATGAATGTGCCCTTCCCCAGAATATGATCAATTAAGGATACCCATGGTTAGTCAAGCCTACCACAGTTCAGACCAAGTAAGAAGTCACAGACAGCAATCTGCATATCTGTACTCCACACATCCCCACATGAGCACATGCCCACTGGTAGGCAGCTGGATGACAGCTCTCCTAAAAAGCAGTGATAGGACAGATACACAGAACTGCCAAGGGGGGAGGAAGCGCCTCAGTGCTTTCTGCTCCCGTAACACAAAGCACAATGGCTGCAAGACACGCAAATATTCCAACAGTGACAGCAGTTCACATCTGAGCAAGTGAATGATTCAGTAATCTTGGTCCAGGACTCTCCCCTAAACTTTGTAACTAAAAGCAAGCAGCCAGGGGAAAAAAAAAAAAAAAGCCTCAAGGGAGCCATCAGGCCCTGGAAATGCACCTCTTCATTTCAACCTGTGTGCCTCTGTTGATAGAACGCGCTTCTGCTGGAGATGAGCAATCCAAAGTCAGTAAGCCACATGCTGGGCCTGGGAAACTGTGAGGGCCCTGTCCACAAAGCCTAATCCCGAGAAAAGTGGTGCTCGGAGAAAGGAGTCCATCGAGTCTAACCTTCATTTCTTTTCCCAAGTGCACAGACAGTACAAAGACTTAATCAAGTAATAACAAGTAAGTTTGAAATAGCAGCTAGCCAAAAGTCACATGAATTCATTTGCTAGGGAAGGCCCTTTTGTGTGATTCGTCTTCTGCTGACTCTTAATGCTCAGTGACACACATATAGAACAAGCTCTTGCCTTTCTGGAACTTTTTCAGATTCCCCTAGTAGATGTTGTTAGGACAAATAGGCATCATATAATGATAGAAAAATATTTTAACAACTGAATTTTGCTTAGCACATTGGAAAAATAGTCCACTATATAAATATATTTGATGTCTATTACACTAATTGTTAATAAGGTGTAAAAGTTGGAACAAGAACACCACATCTCAGAAACGTGAACCATAAACACCAAGGCCAGAGTTAGTTCCACAATCTCTTCAGTGCACTAAAATGGCAACTTCTAATCCAGTGCCTGAAATCAACTGCCTTACCTCTTGGGACAGGAAAGGAATGACTTGTGCGCAGATAGCATTCAGCCTCTTGACGATTTCTGCCTGAAAAAAAAAAAAAAAGAGAGAGAGAGAAAGCAATAAAGAGAGCAGTCAGCTGGTTACAGATTCCCAAAATATTAACAGAATGATATTAAAACACACTTTATATTCTGGCTGGTGTATTTCCTACAAAGTAGAAAACTATCTCATCAGCAAGCCCATTAAAAGGAAACAATGACAACAGTGCCACATTAATAGCGTAATTTATTAAGCAGCATGCATTTTAAAAAGTTAACCTTCAAGCACCAGGATGATATAAAAAAGGAATTTAACTTTCATGACTAGAAATCAGTTTCCAAAAGCCTTCATCATGATACCTGCCCATTGTTATGTTTTTTTTCAAAAAATCTGAATACCTTAGATTAAACAGACATTCTTCCCTACATCCTAACTCTTTCCATTACTGACTCACTGGATTTCTATGTCTGTGGCCTTTCCTTTAAATATGGCACTGGGACTTGATACCTAATTTTCCAATCTCCTGAAAGAAGAGCACCCAGTCAGTCGAATCAGTTCATTAGTTTGGATTCTTGGCTACAAGTTGTTGCCAAATGGGATATAAAGCTTTATACATGTGTCATCAGGGTGTTCAGTGTTAGAGGTTTAGAACATGCTAAAATTCTACTGTATTTAGCAGAAAGCAACCTGAGTCTATCTGGAGACAGTCCTTAAACAGTACATCTGCAGAAGTCTCAATAACGTCAGATAACAAAATTTATTCTCTAATGATTTTTGAAAGTACAGAAATTCTATGCCCAAGGGATGCAACAGTTATTTTAAAATGTATATATAACCACTACATGTTTTCTTTCAAAAGGTACTCAAGAGTTTTACTGATGTTCATCTTAATTTTTACTTTCAGACGGTGGGATATACACTTGGTGTTAAGTAAAAACATATTTTTATACACATGCACACATACAACACAGCTTATGTTGTAATGACGGGTGGGTGGGGAAAGAAGAGTCAAGTGTTAAAAGGCAGAAAACATAATCACTATTCCTAAGAAGTTCTTAAAATAAATTCCATCCAGGGTCAGTGCCTCATTCTGTAAGAAAACAAAAATGCTTTTTCTTGCTAAGTCATTACCAGAATGACAACAGTAACACTACTTGTGAAATCTAGGCTTCCTTCTTTTTCATCAGCACCCTTTTGACTTCAGAGCTATGCAATCTTAAATGCCAGCACATTAAAAACCCTGACAGCCAACAGAAAACACAAATTTAGCCTGAAGTTTCAAACCTAAGCTTTCATTCCAGCCTGCATTCCTAACAGGATAGACAAAAACCTAGCACCAAGGAGCAGCCGTGAGTAAGGACCCAACTGTGCTGACCTGATTTAATTTACTGCACTGGCCACATGGAGCACTTAGCCATCTTCTAAGAATGCGTAAACCACCAAGAAAAGCTGCAAAGGGAATCACCAAATCACTCTCCACCCGGAGGAACATACCACAGTGGTTATGGGGTGAAATTCCAGGTGAGCCAAGAAAACAGAGTAACATTCAGGAGGCTGAAAGCGCAGTGTGTCTCAAAGGCATTCAATTGTTAAGCTTTTTTTGTGGGGAAGAGAAGAGGGAGAGAATAAAAGATAATGAGACACTTTGGGGCAGACCAAACTGATGATTCTAATGCTTAGAACCATCTGCCAAGCATATTTTCCTCATTATGTTGTTTACATAAATAAAATAGTCCCTTGCTAGGAGGGTTGAAAATGTGTGGGCACATAACAAAACTGAGCTCTGTAGTTTGCCTACATAATCTAGGCAATAAAAACTACGCAGGAAACTCACTCATCTGGCAAAATAAAGACCAAAAGTTATTTGGTTCCTTATTTTTGGACTAACACTATTTTCAGTCTTGACAACTATTTCAAGAAAAACATTCTATATTTTCTTAAAAGCAAATGTAAAAGGAATGTAAATCACGTATGGTAACACATACATCACAGAAAAAGGAGGACAGAAATCTGACTTTTTCTTTAAAGGTCTTCTTTTGTTTAAAAGACTTCTTAATATCTTTAAGTTGTCATGCCAATAGACTTTCATAGACAGGCTAATTGGCAGCAGGAGGGGTGGGATTTGTGTGTGATTTCATAAAATTAAGCGGGTCATTCCTCACTTTGAAAGCTAAAGTTGCCTCGGAAACACTGTGCTTCCATGGTCATCTAATTTTGCCTCTTTTGTCCCACAGGGCCCAGCTTTAGGGAGGCATCATTTATTTACAGGCCTTTCCACTGGGCTTCAGCGATCAGCCAATAATACTGTGGACACACACTTCTAATGGCCTATGTTTTGAAACTGAGTCTAATCTAATGGCGTGGGGCCCAAACTCCTTTTCCAGCACAGCCATTAAAGGATGTAGGTTATTGCTGTTGTCACCACTGATATTTGTCATTGTAATGTAATTAGGGCCCTAAAATGATGCATTACAGCCGTTGGCACAGCTTCTATTAAAATCTTTTCTTCTGCTCACTGAACTGCGACCTGCTTTCTGATGAATAACAGACAGGCAGCTTTAGGGTAAGGAGCAGATTCATCAAAGAAGTATTTTTCAGCTTTGGGGAAAGAGGAGGAGAAAAAAAAAAATCTGCAACCTACAAGGAAAGCAGTAGGGGAGGAAAAGCCACAATACACATTTGAATTTCATCTGACCACTTGAAATTCTGATTGCATCTGATGAACCTTGCTTAGACAATATATTCCCAGTCTTCGAATCACATGGTTAATCAGGGCTCTAATCTGCTATCCATCAGCCTATGCCAGTTCTGGAGCTTCCAATCAAATTTATAGGTGATGTGGGTCATGCATCCCTGAGCAAGTGAATTCACAGAGAGCCCATTTAAGCAGGCAGAGACTCTGAAATACTGCTGGTGGGTTACTGGGTGTTATAATGTATTCATTGCTTGATGCACACTGCTAAACTATTGTCTTTAGATGGCCATGATATTCCAAAGTAGCTTTAATGGCTCCAATAAAAGGACAATTGTTCATGTCCAAATATAACAAAAATAAAATTTTGGCAGTGATACTTTGTCAGAAACGTTAACACTAGACAATTCTATTCCACACTCCTATATCAAAGTATTTTTTAAAAAGTGAGTGGCACACACATTTTTCTACCCTTACTTCATTCACCCCCATTCTATTTCCTCTTTCTAGCTTCCTATAAAGATATGAGAACCAATAAAAATCATGACTATCCCTGTTGAACTAAACAAGAAATCCAGTTTGGGCAAGGTATCTTAGGATAAAAGGTAACCAAAAAAAATAGGCATTCTATGAAAATCTCCAATGCATGCCTCACCTGACATGGGAATGCCAGCAGCCTGACTCAGAAGTCCACACACAGAGTGGAGGGAGCACCAACAGGATCAGGCAAAAACATCATAAGAACACTGAGAACAATCTCGTGTCCCTTCTACTTTCACACTCCAACACTCAAGAACATTTGGAAAATTTGTTCACAACCATAAATCATTAAAAAGGAATGTCATGTGCTGAAAAGAATGATAACAACTCAATCAACAGATTAAAAGAAAGAGTAATTACAAATAGGCACAGTATCACAGATTTATAAATTACATTAGTAATTTCAGACAAACTAATCAATATCTTAATTCACTTACATTCCCTCAAGTGGATCTGACAGAATCAAAATCTAGTATTTACTTATATTATTTCTGCTCATGTTTTCATAAAAACAAAAAAAATTTAACATAATAAAACTGGACAGAATGCATGATACTTTTATCTTAGTAATCAAAGATATGTATCAAAAGCCAATTGTTGGTTTAAAAAATGTTTTAACCCTAACCAAAATAAAAACAAATAAAAGCAAATGTACTACTGAAATGAAACAAAGCATTATCAGTAAACCATTTCAGCAGCCAACTTACAAAAAAAAGCAATTACACTTTTAACAAAACATTCTCAAAGAATACTTCGCCATTAACTTTGTACATTCTATAGCAGTGTCTTTGCCAACAACTTTAACAGATGAACCTATTTACTTTATGAAATGTTTATCATGAATCCACTCTTAGGCATAATATGCAAACCCTTAAGATGATTTCTACTTTCATCTGCCTGAAGTCTTTTTTTTTGAATAAACACAAATCTTGCAACTTTCTACTTCACCAAGACTAATTCTGTTCTTTGCAAATTTCATCAGAAAATGAATTATTTTTATTTTTTCAAAATTTTCAGAAGAAACCACACAACTTCTGGAACCAATATCCTCCTTGATCTCAGATTTGAAAATCAGAGAACTGATAATAAACACTCAGACGAAACAAGGAAAGCTATGACGGTAGACTGATGCTATGGTTTGGATAAGGGTCCCGAAGGGTCCGTGTGCTAAAGGCTTGCTTGCTGGCCTGTGCTGCTGCTGGGATGCAGGGGAAGCTTCCGGAGAGACCTGGCAGGAGGAAGTAAGGTTATCGGGGGTGTACCCTTCGAGGGGATACTGGAATCCCACTTTGCTATTTTGGGCTTTCCAGCTGCCATCAGAGAAGCACCTCTGCTCCATCGGTCCTCTCCACCATGAAATGAAGTACTGCCTCTCTACAGGATCAACTGACCACCTACCAGACCTCCAACATCACCAGCCAAAAACCTTTTCCTTTTGAGTTAATTACCTCAGTTATTCTGTTAGAACAGAATGCTGACTACAAGTGACAACCCAGTGTTTACCCTGACATCAAAATTCAACTTTGTAAAAAAAAGAACATGCAATGAAAACAAATTTTACGCGTAAAAGACTACCCACACTAAAGGGAAAACATAATTAGAATGTAGACTCCGACAGTGATCTCACTCCCAGAACAAAATTCTGTACAGAAATTAAAAAGATAGACAATGTATAAATTAGAGAAACTTTTCTGAACTATTTTTGTAAAAACAGAAGACTATTTCTTAAGTAGAGCTGAATTTGACACACAGTAAAAAAATAAATGCCAAAGAATTGCTGAATCTGTGGGAAGTCTCAATTTTTCTTCAATTT